AAGATGTGCATCATGTCAAAAACAGGAGGTTTACATAGTTGTGTGTAACAACAACAACAACAACAACAATCTCAATGGAGCACGTAAGCATGTTCTCATTTAACTCATTCAGTCTTATCAACAGCATTTTTGTAGTCATTACTAATGCTTTCTTGACTAATCTCTAACAGATTGGGAGGTTTTTGGTCTTTGCCATAATAGTCCTTTGATTTAAGAAATTGTTCAATTGCTGTGAAGAAATGTACAGAGTTATAAAGTGTTTATGGGGTTTCTGGTATAGTTGCATTAATAAGAACAAAGGTTCTTTATGGTTCGACATAAAGCTTGTGTCTGTGCTAACCAGCCTGATCTCCAAAACCCGTTCGTAAAAATGTATACGAAAATCTTGAACATACAAATTCGTATTGATACATACTGAATAAATACGGACTGCAACTGATGACGTCACCCTATTCAAAGTGAATGGGGACCTGCACCCCGTAAACACACTTTGTGAAGTCTAACGATGTAAAATAAACGTGTTATGATTGCATTTTTAACGAGAAATCAATGTTAACTTGTAAGAATAGAATACTAACCCTAACCCGTTCACTCAAGAATCCAAGACGGCCCGCCATGTTGTTCACTCGAGAGGCGTGGTTAACCACCGCCAGTTCCTATGTATTGTTACGAATTTGTATGTTCAAGATTTTCGTATACATTTTCACAAACAGGTTTTGGAGATCAGCGAGTAGGCTGGCCACTAACTAAAATCAACTCCTTCATCTTGTTTTCAGAACCTGAATATGAACTGAAATTCAAAAAGACTATTTCAGTTTTATGGGGTTAGTTACATGTTGGGAATCTTCATTTATTGCCGGATAAAGCGTTGATTGTTGTTCATCAATAGTTTAGGCACTTTGCTTCCTCTAACAAACCAACATCTTTACTTTTCTGTTCTTGTATCAGTCAAACAAGAAACAACATTGGACCGCTCATCGTCTGTTGGTCTTTTTCTTTGAATAAAGCTGATTTTCATGCAATCAGTCTATACTAAGCTACTCGCTTCCTGACTGATGCATCAGTGCTGCAGGAATGAGTCCTTAATCAAGGAGATGGTAAATTGTTCATGTTCTGTTCCCGGACCAATAGAGGTCTAAGCTTAATGCCAATGGGCCGGGTGGGACTTGGTTATTAATTATGCAAGATGGGAGAGTCGTTGAAAACATTCACACCTGAAACTGTAGAAAGGTATCCTGGTTCCTCCGATTATCACAATAAAGAGCTGCTTTTATTAACCAATATCAGGATGAAACATCTTGCCTTTTAGAAAGTACAACCTCATAAACCACAGCAAGAGCATTAGGACCAAAGTCCCATATAAATATATATATAAATAATGCTGATAATCAGATTTATCAGTATTCTCAACTCTTCTCATGCACAAACATATGTGTAATATCCAGACCCGCTTGTCACACAATAAACTTTTCACATCAGCGGTGATGATAAAGTCAGTTAATTAAACTTAAGGCGAGAACATTGATGGGTGATTTAACTGCTGTGTTATTTACGCCTCATCAACAAACGGCTGTTAAAAACACAAAGACTGTTTAGCCACTCAAAATGAATTCCATTCACCATTTAGTTTCCCTTAAGTAGCTTTAAAGAAGGGGGCTGGGAGCGTTGTTTTACCGCACTGCTGGAAAGCATTAGATATATTGTGTATCATCTTGTGTCAGCTCCTCATACCATGTTTCCACTGAGTGAAATACTCCAACAAATGTGTCTTGTGCGTTATTTCAATCACTATTCCATAAAAATAATTACAACACATTCAGTAAAGTAAAGTGACGTGTGTCTTCGCAGCGTGACGTTATACTGTATACTGACGTGTACATCGAGCCCTTTATGGATTTTTCAGTCCAAGTGAATGAGCTGCAGCCGCCTGAATGACTAAAGTGAAGAGAGGGCATCCATATGATCACAACCCGTGTGTGTGTGTGTGTGTGTGTGTGTGTGTGTGTGTGTGTGTGTGTGTGTGTGTGTGTGTGTGTGTGTGTGTGTGTGTGTGTGTGTGTGTGTGTGTGTGTGTCTCCCCCCCCTCTCTCTCTCTCTCTCTCAGGTGGTGGTCCTCCAGGCAGTAAACCTGCAGACTGCTCACAGCCTAAACATTCCTCTGTAATGGCTCCGGGATAAACACAATGTTCCTGCATCTTTTCCCGTCCACCTCTGTCTATATCTGCTGGGAAGTGGTGGCCTCATTGTTGAAGAGCAGAATCTGCACAATTTCTTAAGTCAAAGCTCACAATCGAACAGAAATAATACACACAGTTTAACTGTATGTGTATATTATGATTGTATAATGTCAGGAGCTACCTGGATGTAGGGGATCAACAAAGTACTTATCTATCTATCTTTCTACGATTTCTTAAGTCAAAGCTCACAATCGAACAGAAATGTTGGTGGACACAATGTTGAACTCGGGGCATTTTTCCTCAACTAAAACGTGCCCCAGTTATGCAGTTAATAGGAATTTCCTTCTCCTTTTGCTGACACAATATTTACAGTGACCATCTCATTAGGTCACACACACATTACAGGTCTAAATATGAGCATCAAAGCGTTTCATGCACGTTCAGGCTTTACAACTTTCACTTTAAATCAATGCGTTTCCTTCAGCTTGAACTTACTTCTCCCGCCCTCCTTCATGAAACTAATCAGATCCTTGTAGAACTTGTCGTCGTACGGCACGGCCTCCACCGTGATGTTCATCTTCTCCTTCAGGTTCAGGTAGATGCCCTCCGACAGAAAGTAGTACGGCCGGTCGTCCAGCCGCAGGTCCTGGTAGATCACCACGGCCCGGGACGTCCAGTTGAAGTGCGCGTGCAGGACGTTGGCGAAGTCCCCGAGCTTGGTAGTGGACGGCCCGCTGCGCACGATGGTCCGGTATTCCTCGCGGCTGTCGAAGCCGTACGCGGGCGCGCCGGCTGTGATCAGCGGGAGTTTCCAGTGGGACGCGAAGCGCCCCACGGAGGCCAGCGGGTACACGCACCCGGGGCCGAAGAACGCGTCCGGGCGGATGTAGAGCTTGGCGTCCACGGCCACGACCTGCGCAAGGCTGGCGTCGCACGAGCCCGCGACGGGGTCCTCCGTGCTGTAGTTGAGGATGTTGATGAAGCGGCCGAGCAACAGCCCGTGTTTGGCGTGGAGGTCCTCGTGCGCCATGAGGATGGCTGGGAGGACGCGCGGCAGAGCCCACGGGTATTTGTGGTGGTTGTCCGGGAGCATCACCGCTACGGTTATGTTGCCCCTGCAGCCGGGCGGGAGGCAGCAGCACAGCGCGGCGAGGAGGCAGCATCCCAGCGCGCTTCTGTATCCCATTTCGCGTCACGAGCCGCTGGTAAGTCCCGGGCTGGAAAGTACGGTCACGGAGAGCGCGCCGTTTGGAGAGGAGACACTGCCGGCTGTGGCACCCCGACGCCACACCATAAGGATCAGTCTCCCTCACTCCCGGTCTCCTTCTCTCTTTTTTCAAATGTCAAACAAAGTCGGTAAAGGTATCATTCCGTCGTGCCGGGCGCGGCGGTGCCATGCGTCTGCGCTGCGTAATGTCCACGTGAAATGAAGCTTCCGCACTTCCCAAAAGCGACTCCTCCAGCGCAGAGTGGTCCTTCGCACTGACAGCCTCTGGGAGAGTAATGACATCGATCCAGATGACTACAAACAAGGCAGCCTTCTGCTCGGCCCCCACGCGTCACACACAGAAAAGCCCCCCCCGACCATTAGGATTAAGGGGATTATTCCACGAGTGAACGTGTTGTGGAGTACGTTTCCAGCGAGTTGGGATGGTTTTAAATGTAGAAAAATCTCTAAACACAAGTGAAAATGTTGTTAATAAAAAAAAGAGTTCGATCTGACGTGTATGTTTGTTTGTCTTTTTTTAAAACACATAAATGAAACTGAACCGGACATAAAAGAATGTTTTTGTCTCTGGTTGTTAAATGAAAAACATGTAAAACAAACTGCGAAATTCTAGATTAAAAGGGAAAAGAACCGAAGGGCTTTTATTTTGCAGTGTATGAATTGAAACGTCAAATTGGCCGTGAGTCGCCCCCTGTCTGCCACTTCACGTGTCTCCTGTGCGTAATCAGTCAGACGATTGGGGATTGTGTCCACGCACGTGAAGCTTTCAATGGGTCTGATTGTTCACAGCCAGTTGGATTCCATTGAGAGAAAGTGTCATCTGATACAGTATATACCCTGTAGTTTAATTGGTAGACTTCATTGATTGATTTGATTGATTTGATTGACATAAGAGGCGTCACATCGATCACAGTGACCGAACTGCTCCTCCTGCTGGCCGGTCCTTGCACGAGGCTCAAAGGGAAAGTGTTTATTCTGGGATCACTCGTATGTTTGACCTTCACTGTGGAGATGTTTTGTCAGTTTTATCGCTCACCTGCTGATGGTGAAAGTTTGTCTGTCCTTACCCGAAACGATAAAAGAAAGACGAGACTTTTGGGACATCGTCTCTGTTCTAGAAGACATTTGTGCACCTACATTTTAAAACTTTGATATGTATTGAGATTTCATTGATAACGGTGTATATTTCAAACTAGAACATGTCTGGAGTGGACCTTTATAGAGAATTATAAAATATAAAACTTATTTTCCCCCTCTTACCCGTAGCGCTAGTCAACAATGTAATTTCCTTTTTGGAGTGAGTTGTCTAGTTTTTCAGGTCGGAGATGTCGGAACAACAAGGCCTGTGGATTATTTAAAGGGATCTTTTTTTATTGCTGACATCTTGACTTCTCGCAGCAGTAAAAGGGCACTAAAACTAGTTTTGTCCCACACAGTTTTTGCACATGCCTGTCTTCAGAGAGGTCGGGGGTCAGTTTGGGGGTCAGCGCTCTGCTCGGGCTCTGGAATAGGACCTGAAAGGGCGCTTTTAAAAAGCTGTGAAAGGCCACCCCGTGTAGTAGTCATGTATCAATATAAAAAACACACACCTGTCGTGGCTGTGAACGAATGATTTTATTGGTCAAAGAGTCACAGAGATTAAACAGAAACCAGAAGCAGAAATATCTCATCAGACATTCACATTCCCACGATTCATACGAACATCCATCCCATTAATAAAAGACATTTATTCAATGCTGATCCCATTGTCACACAGGAGACATTTCCTGACAGGATTGTCAACTTTTACATTGTCATCATTAAAAAGCTTAAAACAAACACAAATTGGGGGGAAAAAACTGTTTAAAAATATTCACAGTCGAACAGATAAACTACTGATATGTGGAAAAGTAAAAATAAAGATGTAAAGCTTAACAGGTTTCATGTTTTCGTACATGATTTATCTTTGTCAGCGTGACTCAACTGAGTCAACTGTAGCTTTGTTCTTTTTAAAGGGAGTCTGTCTGTGGACCCGTCTCTTTGTTTCTGTGGCCTCACATCTTCCTTCCTCATTCTTTCAGCCAGCTGAGCAGCTGAGGCGTGTAATAGGTGATGATGATGTCAGCGCCTGCAGCACACAGGTGGAGAAACAAAAAACAAAATTCCGGCAGTCAGGTTAAATCTAGATTAAATTTACAATGAAATGTATCCATATTTGGGGACACTAATTGTCAATCTGAAACTACATTCACAAGCCTTTTCCCTTCTTCACATACTGTCACTATTAGCGTCACATTGTTCATGTTGAACGCCTTCCCTTGGCATGCAGGCTGTGCATTGTCCTGTCTCTATGACAACGGGCTTTGAAGTGTCACCATAAAGAACGACTTTTGCCTTCAGGCGTAGTCGTCCGACCTGTTGAACAACACGACTAAACCTCAGCCGCGATGCGCGTGGCCGCGGCGACGTGAGCGTCCACTCCGCCCGCGTCCTCTCGTGTCCTCTCACCTGCCCTGCGGAAGGCGGTCATGGCCTCCATCACAGCGGCCCGCAGGTCGAACGCTCCGGCCTGCGCCCCGTGCCACATCATGGCGAACTCCCCCGACACGTTGTACACCGCCAGGGGGTGAGTCGGGAACTGAGGAGAAGAGTCACTGTCATCAATGAGGAGACTCCCTCCAAAAGAATCACGGGTCGATTGTCGAATGTCTTCTGGTCGAAAACGCGTCACGGCGATATTGTCCTCCGTTGACGAGCAGCCGGTTTAGTTACAGACCTTGTCCTTGACTTCTCTCACGATGTCCAGATAAGGCAGACCTGGTTTCACCATCAGCATGTCAGCTCCTTCTCTCACGTCTCGCTCCTGTGCAGAACCACCGACGGTGAGACCAGCGCTCGTACCCCCGCAGCCCCAACGCTCACACGCAAACGGCGCTTACCACGGCCCGGAGGGCGAGTCCTCTGGCTCCGGGTGGCAGCTGGTAGCATCGTCTGTCCCCAAACGCCGGCTTGGACTGCGCAGCATCTCTGTAAGGCGCACACACACGTCAGGGAGTCGTCGCACTGATCCGTTTACACTCCGTCTCAGAGAGCTTCCTTACCTGAACGGGCCGTAATAGCAAGAGGCGAACTTTGCACTGTAGCTCAGCACTGAAGCCTGGAGGAGTGCAAAGAGAAAAAAAGATGCACGGGAACTATCACCAACAATGAATGTTTCCTCCTAATAAGTGCTGTGTGTATCACAGCTTCACAGCGTGAATTATTAGTCTCTGCCATTGTGGTATTACTATATACTGTTGCTCTGTTTGATAACTTCCTCCATTACCATGAACAATCACTTTTGACTCAATTCCAAATTCACCATTCTGCTATTGTAAATACTCCCTGTAGCAACACATGTGTAAACAGAAAATAGTCAAAATCCTGTGGGAGAATTTGCTGAAACCGATAGTTTCTGTAGCTGTTTAAGGAAGTAACTTTGCCCTTTTTAAAGTTATTTTTAAATGGAGGTATTTTACTGGCTGTTCAGCTTTTGTAGGACCACTACAAGTTCCATTGAGGTATGCTGGAGTGGAAAGTTTCTACGTTTCTTCTGTGAGATGCATGTAATGGTAAAACATGTTGTGACATTTGTCTTGTGCTAAACCCGGGTTTGTGTTTGTATTTGACCGTGATGGGCAAAGACAGAAAGATTTAAGGTTTGCAGCCGGGAGTTAACTTGGTCTCACAGACGCTCGAACAAAGGAGCAGTGTGTGTTACCCTCAGCTTCACCTGGGTTCTTATCTCAACTTGATTTGTAGCTTCTCGTAACTGGCACTGTGGATGGTCTTCATGTGTTTAAAAACTCGTTCCTACTGCTCGGAGACGCCATTACACCGAACGCTGAAATACGTGCTAGTGTGTTCGACCTCCTGCCTATAGGCAATAGTTAGAGCCAGATATATCTGTGTAGAATTGCTCATGTAATCTTTTTCTCTTCTAAATAAATGTTAACTTTTGACTTTAAATTGATCAACGGGCTGGATCCTTCTCATCAACCAACTCGGGGGGATCGGAGATCCCGACACTTCACACTGCAGCGATTTTATGTCATTTACCTTGTTCCCCATACCGTTAGATATGAGGGCATGTTTTATGGCTCTGACCCTCCCGTCCATCATGTCGGAGGGAGCGATGATGTGACAGCCTGCGGAGCAAGACGACACCAATAGCATCGGCCATTAAAGAGCGACATCAGCCATAAAACGCTACATCCCTTTGGTCTTGAACTGAAGACCAAACTTTCTCACCGGCGCGAGCGTAGGCCACTGACACTTCTGCCAGGCGCAGACAGCTGGCGTCATTGTTCAGAGTTCCGTCGTCGTTCAGGATACCTGCAGGAAAAACAACATTAGTAATGAAATCCAAACACCTGGTTATCGTTTCTCCCCTTGTTTCCGCTGCTCTTTAAGTTAAATGAACAGAGGTCATGGAAGATACCGACCGCAGTGTCCGTGGGACGTGTAGGGACACAAGCAGACGTCGCACGCCACCAGCAGCTCCGGGAACAAAGACCGGATCTTCTTCACCGCCAGTACAGCGGGCGTGTCGTCGGTGTCGGCGCCTGAACCCCTGTCGTCCTGACGGGGAAGAGACTAGGTCAGCGAGTTGGTCTCTTTCCACAGCCCCTGGACATTAATCTGCTTGTAAGCACACTTTTCATCCAGACACTAGAGCGTTGGTGCAGCCCGACACCAAACGCCCACATATTGTATCCTTAGAACATATTGTAGTGCACCTAAGGAATGAGTGCTGTGTTGGATGTCACAGAAACTGTGATGAACGCAAATCCCACTGTTGTTACAGTTGGATTTTCAACTCCCCCCCTCCACCTCTTTTACTTTTACATACCTTTTCTATCTTTGCAGGCACACCAAAGATCAGCACACATTTCAAGCCATTGTCCACAAGAGGCTGCAACATTCCCTCCAGCTTGTTCACCCCGTATCTATGGATGGGGACACATAGGAGCGAAACATCAAAACACATAAGGGGAATGTTTGAAGTCACCCTTAAAGGGTTTTATTCAGAACAAGGAACTGTGTTCTCATGTGCATCGACGGAAACTGTCAAATTTCAAACAACTCTGTACAGTTCAGTCTGTGCGTCTTGTGAGTCGAGGCACAAAAAGTGACGGCAGGTTTGCAGTTTGGTTTTGCTGCGTGGGAAATAGAAGTCTAACGGATTCTTTTCTTATCTTGGTCCAGGTCCAGCCTTTGGCTGCGGGTCCACCCTGCCTGACTGCCTTTATCTGAAGACAACACCCTCTGTGGGTTTACAGCTGCAGGGTGACAATGTGTGTTTGAGACAAGACCATTGTTTAAGTTTTCCCAACAGTGGCGTGTAATGCATGTTTAAATTGGGACTTTAATCCCCCCGGCAGTAACACAAAAGGTATTTCGACATGGTTTTCCTCATGATCGTACACAAAAACAGGGGCTTTGTTGTAAAGACTCGACTGACTGTGTTGGATTCAGGTTGGGGATGGCTACGATGGGATCCGGCCCTCTTACCTGGCCTGTCCCGGCAGGCTGCCAATGGGCTCCACAGCATCGGCACTGTCTCTGTGGGAGAGTGACAAAGAGGCAAGCTTGACGTCTAATCCATTGGAACAATTCCTCAACCCCCGATCTCAAAACTACTGTACATTTATTGTCATGCCTTTTCATGAGATTGCAATTTGGAAATAGAGAGTTTCATTTACGTGACGAAGACCGGGTAGATGAGATTGTCGGGTCTTAAGTCGGCGACGCAGGTCTGCCAGTATCGCAGCGTTGGATGGAAATAGCCGCTGTGGATGATGGACTCCGCCGGTGTCTGCATCTTTACTCTGAGACAGAGAACATTAGTGAGAACACGCAAAGGGCAACACGGGGAAGAGGTCAGGTCCTGTTAGTCAAAACACCGCTTCACGCTTCACCACGGCTCAGTCACCAATGAAACTGACCAGGCATGCGTGATGCTTCTTCTCCAAACAGCAGCACGGCTCTGTATGAACACGCCACAGGTTTTCAAAACTCTATTAAATAGAAGCCTTTCACTTTAATTGGCAATTTATTACTGTTTGTTTTTCTCCATGAACATGCATTTCCTCTGCACACGTTGCATGACATAACTTCTTTTCGCAGCAGGACTAAGGTCATTTTATTCAACTGTAATTAGTAATTACAGTTCATTTACAGGGCCGAGCGGATGGGTGATAATAGTTTAGCGTGTATCGGTTGTGATATCAGGACCCGCATTGATGACGTGATATGAAATTGATCCCTTGCTGCAATGTGATCCCCATACAGTTATGACCTCGGATGTGAGCAAAGCAAAGCAGATTCAGGAAATTACAATTTAAGCAGTTTCAAAAGGAGGAAAATGACTACGTAGTGTTTAGGTTACAGACGTGTGCGATCCTGAGCTATTCAACCAGAAGGCGTAATCACTATGGCGCGTCGTTTTGTAACCTTGGCTGGCGAAAAACCCTTCATTCTACACGTGTAACACGTGCAGGGACTGACGTAGCCACGACAACTGTGTTAAGTCTTCAATATTAGCCTCGGAAAACTTGAATGAAAACACTGTAAATGATTCAGTAAGTCGGTGTACTCACCCCTGAAAATGAAGAGTCCGCGACTTCTCCTCACTTCTGTCAACTCAGAGTGTTTCTTCTCTGGTTTTGTCTGACGTTTCGCGGGTGACTTGGTGACGAACTACCGCCCCCTACCGACTGGGGCGCGCATCTGATTAAACCGGGGCTGAAGGAAGAACGCCATCCAAGTGCCATTTTTTACATTTTTGTTACAACTAAATGCAGTTTAGAAACACATCGGGATTGTGTGGAAGGTACAAGTGGAGCCGTCGGAACACAAACGCATCAATTAGAAAATAATTGCGATATGAACAAAAAATCAGTCGGTCCTCTCGGCCTCCGTACAATCGGTCTCGCGACATTTCCCAGGAGGAAACGCAGCTACGATGCTACCGGATTGATAGCTTTACGGTATTGACGGTTTCACCACCGGCTGGATGGAGAAGAAAACGCCTGACTGTTATTAAGGTAAAGTCATGTGCGTGGGCAGTAAAATAACTGTGTGTTGTGGGTAATTAGATGGTCTGTACTCACGTTGTCTCTTGACTCTGTGGTCATCTTACGTTGTAGGGTAATAATGGCTAACGATGCTCTCTGTATCATCGATGTAACGTTAACGTTTTTATAGCAATAACGTCAAGTTGCGTAAGTAGACTTTTCAAACTCAGCCTACCATTGTCAGCCGGTATCCAGCCGAGGTTATTCAGTGTAAATATTCAGCGGACAATGTGATGAAATCAAGGAGGGTAACCGCTGCCTACCTTCACTGCACTAATACTGGGACATGTAATCTGGGCCTCCCTACTCTGCTGTATAGTCAATGTGTGGCTGTTTGCCCCTAGTTGTTTTCTTCATAAACATCTGTCGGATGTAACGATCTTCTTTACGTAATGCTGTGTTTTCTTTGTCATAAATAAGGAAGGGTTTCCAGAGATTGGGAGCACTTCCTGCCATCAAATTCCTGATCATCATCCTAAGGGTGGATTTGAAGATGTAGCCAAGAGTGCGGTGGGTCACCTTCTGCAGCACCTCAACAATCCTAATCAGTAACTTCTCGAGTAATCAGTAACTTCTCGCTGCGATCCGAAGTCTGGAGCCCTCTGCACCCGAACCCCGGCTGCCTTGTGCGCTAGTCTGCCACCATCAGTCAGTCCGCAGCTGGTAGAAGACCCTTCTGACCTCCGTTATGCTGTTCTCCTTGAAGGAACTGGTCCAGTGGCTGGGCTTTGCCACCTTTGAACTCTTTCTCCACCTGCTAGCCTTTCTGGTCTTCAGCATGCTGGTCGCTCTGCGAGCCGACATGTTCACCCCCGCGCTGAGCTGGTGGGTGGTGTTTGTCCCGCTGTTTGCTGCCGACGGCCTCAGCACCTACTTCACGGCCATTGTGTCAATCCGTCTCTACCAGGAGAATGAGAAGCGCCTGGCCGTGCTGCGGCTCCTCTGGGTGCTGACGGTGCTCAGCCTGAAGCTGGTGTGCGAGGTGCTGCTGTGCCAGAAGCTGGCGGAGCAGGAGCAAGCCAGAGACCTGTGGTTTGGCCTTATCGTCTCGCCGCTGTTCATCCTGCTGCAGCTGCTGATGATACGAGCGTGCCGCGTCAATTGAGGAGCGAGGCCGACCACACGGGAAGAAAGAGCAATCGTCATCTGCCATTAGAGATTTAAAGCGTAACAATGGTGTCAATTTTCTTTTGGCTGCTTTTTCTACACATAGAAAAGCCACATTCACGTTCGCTGGTCCGGAACAGAGTTTGTACATATTTGTGTTTCTAATAGCTACGAAATGGACACAACTCCGTCCTCGATTGAGTCATAGTGCAGTATTTCTCTCCCCAGGAAAATGTAGGCTATTGTATACCAGCACCATGAGTTCTCAATGAGATTGATGGGGGGGGTTACTGGTGTTTGTTTTTTGATACTTTTAGGAATACGAAGAATCAGCAGTACATGTGTATTTGGGTCATGGTGTGCCTTTTACACTGTGCAATCAATGTTTAAACAATGAGCCATGAGGACTATGTCTACCACAGTTATGTTTTAATGCACATGTGCACAATACACATGTCAGTTTAATAAACAGTTGAAACCTGAAGGCTGCAATGCCCCAGGCACTTTTTTGGACATCTGTCTTGAGTAACAGAGCTGAAGAGATGCAGCAAAAAATGTTTTTTTTTTCCTCCCAGAGGAAGACGTTGCTTGCCAACACAATTTGGTTAGGTTAATTATCATGTGTCTTACTTTGTTGCCTGTTTCAAGAAGTGTTGCTCACCCCCCCCCCTTCCTTCTCCACAAGTTGCCGCGCTTGTCAATTCCATCAAGAACAGTCTGAAGAGCAATAAGCTGTCTCTGAAACTTCGTCTGCTGAAAGTCTCACATCCACGTAGGAAAACTGAATGTGATTTCTTCAGTCAGTTGTGTGCACACGTCTTCTCTATATATTACTATTTATTTGTACAATATGTAATATATTTGATCTGAGTTTGATCATATCTTGTGGATGTAATAGATGTATTGAAGGTCTCATTTTAAGGGAAATGTTGTCAGATTCTGTGTAATATGTATATGTTGATTTTGGAAATAAATTGACAATCTTATTTATGTTCTCAATGTTCTTTTTATTGCACCCCTATTGTCATCTGCATATACTTTTATTTTACTTTTTTAGTCTTGGTCTACCTGGCCGCCAGGAGGCGCTACTGGACTTTTTAAAATATGTAGCACCATACTGATTTTATAGTTTGAACGTCAATTTTACAAATTCCTTCTTAAAATGAGGTGATGAACAGAGAAAAATGTCATTTTCCTGATTATGTTTTACAGTAAATTCAACACGCAGTGAAAACCAGTCTTCAGACTTCAAACAGATGACCCACTGCATGTCCTACTTATGTCTTAATCGGGTTCTTTCATAAAGCATATGCAGCTTTATTGTTGCATGTCTTTGCTCGTTTTGTGTTGGATTGTGTCTTAATTCAATGCCATTTCATGTATTTCCCATTATTAAAGTTTCTAATCTTTACCCCCAATGAATATTAGAATAAATCAAAAATAAATGTGTTTTAATAGAATCTTTCAACGTCACCTCTCAGTTTTTAGAAGCACCCCGAGGACGTGACTTATATTTACTCCAACTGATTCAATTCTTCTCCAACCATTTTACCTTCTGACCTATTTATTTTATGCATCTGATTTTTTTCCTCCCGTGTGTTCTTCAGCCTCGCTGTTCTTAATTATCGCTCGCAGATAAATGTTTGATGAGGTACAGTAATCGCTTGTAGTACCCAAGAATAGCCCTCTTAGTGCTGATTCAATGTGCAGCACGCTACCTCGCAGCTCATGTGTTTACTGCGGCCGGATTATCGACAGGTGGCATCACCGGCAAAACGCTTCGGTGGTCTCCATCCTCCTGGATCTTCTCTTCTTATTACACAAGAACAAAAGCAATGTACTGCTTGATGGCCCGCACTGCAATAGCAGTAGCATTTGTACTTTGTATGATCGATTTTTTCCCCCAAAAAATGTTAAAAACGATTAATTTAGAATATTAATAGGTAGTAATGCAAAAAACAAAATAAGCACAAAAAGTCAATCTCATTACGCGACGTAGATGCAATAAAGACTATTACATTTGGGGTTTAACCAGATTTAGTAACCATAATATTTATTACATATAGAATATGTTGGGTGAACTTAGTCTCACCCAGTAGGATTGTGATTCAATCTTAACTGTATCAGCAAAAACAATATCGACAAATCTATGTTCAACCCTCCAATAAAGGATACAGCCACTGGTGGTGTTGCAAACTGCAAAAAAGGGAGGGGCGGGTTGAACCTGAACGCAACACTTTTGATTGACAGGCCTCCCATGCCCAGTCAACAATAAAAATGGGAGTGGTTATCGCCAATATGCGCGTTCAATGGGCGTGTCTCTGAGCAGCAACGACCAATCAAGAGGCGGATGGGACTGCCGAGGAGCCCGTGCTGCTGCGGATGGGCGGGGCCGCGTTCAGGGGCTGTGTGGAGTCAGAGGGGGGTGGAAGCAGAGCGAGAGGAGAGAGGGCGACAAAAAAGACCGTAGGGATGTATGTGAGTGCGCGGTGATCAGTGCAGCAGGTACAGTCAGAGCCGGATACAGGTTTTACACCCGGACCGGACCGCGGCACATCGCCTCAGAGCCGGCCTCTCTCCTCCTCATCCCCTCCAAACAAACCTCCGCAATGTCGGGCGGAGGAGAGCTACGTGTCCTTCGCCAAGAGCCCGGGCAAGAGAGCCCGAGGATGCCGGCCTGGAAGCGAGAAATCTTGGAGAGGAGGAAGGCGAAGGGCGGCGGGTCCGGAGGAGCCGGTGCCGCGGAGACAAGCCCCGGCGGCGCGGGTTCACAGCGGGTCAACGGGGAGCAGACGGGAAACGCGAACGGCGGCGGCACCGGCGGCGGACCCAAACGAGACGGGTCCGCGCGGAGCTACACCATCTCCACGGCCACTCAGCACTTCGCGAACAACAAAGAGCCTCGAGCGACGGACGCGGAGGAGACGACGGCGAGGGAGGACGACGACAGGCGCGAGAGCCTGGTGCTGCAGGAAAGCCTGGGCCCGCTGGAGGAGAACCCCTTCATCAAGCTGGAGAAGGAGCGGAGGAGGCGACAGGACCGAGAGAACGCCGCCCGCCCGGTGCAGCACATCCTGGAGCTGTACGGCAACGTACCCGGCATACGGACTATCCGCGCGGATAACATTATCATCATCGAGTCGGACCCGGATTACTTCCCGGAAGCCGGAGGGAACAGAAGCGGGTCCAAATGGCAGCAAAACGGCGTCAGTAGTTACAGCTCTCTGAGCGACCTCCTGGACCGAAGAGGGAGTGCTGTGACGGAGATAAGAGCCAAGGAAGTAGTCATTTATGACACATCGATAAGCAAGAGCGAGGAGAACTTGAGCACCTTGGGCCGCCCCGATCACGAGGCCCCATCGTACGAGGCCGGTGAGGGTCAGGGCAGGGTCAGCCGGATGCTGCAGAAGTTTGACAGCAACTACGGGAAGCTGCAGAAGAAGTCCCACAGCACGGAGAACCTGCTGGACTGCGGTGGCGGCGGCAGGCCACGACTCTGGTCCAGGCCGCAGCCAGATCTGGTGCCAAAGGCCAGGCCGGGCCCCTCGTTCAGCAGCCAGCCATCGTCGCCTGTCTTTCAGGGTCCTTCGTCTTCCAAACCAAAGCCACAGCCTGCCGCCTCTGAGCTAAGCGGCACCGGCCACCCCCGGCCCGTGTCTCCCTCCCGTCAATGGTTTGAGGAGAGCGGAGGTCACGGTGCAGCCCTCAGGCCCGGGGATGAGCCAGACCAGGGGAAAACCAAGCCCACCAGAGAGAGGGGCTGGGAGGGCTCCGTGGTGCCAATCAAACCCAAGGTGCCATGCTCTCCAGAGAGCCGTCGCGTCCGCGCCGAGTCCCCCACCAGCCCCGTCATATTCAAGGTGTCCCGCTCCTCGTCAGACTTTGAGATACGTCCCTCCTCAAAGCCAGACCTCGACCGAATTCCCGATGGGGACACCCAGGCACGGGCCCTCGCGAACCTGCGCCTGAACTCCCGGAACTCCTTCACGGTGGTCCCCAAACGCCGTCCTGCTGCCTCGTCCACCACAGGCAGCCCGGCACCGTCCAGCCCGAACAAGTCTTCGCCATCCCACAGAGCGGCAGAGGTTGCCACCCCAGGAGTGCCAACCACCCACGCGCCCATGCCCACTGCGACTCCATCAAAGAGCGACGAGGAGGAACTGCAGGAGGAGAAGAGGCAGGTGAGGGTGTCAAATCCTGAACCATCTCCTCCTGTTGCCACAAGTCCTCCGCCGCCCGAACCTCGGTCCCCATCGCCTGCTCTTACCCCGGCTCCCAACTCTCCACCTGCCCTCTCTTCAACCCCCTCTCCTCCAGCGTTCCCATCTTCTCCCCCCCTCTCTCCGGTCCCCTCGGATTCTCCCGCCCCGTCCGCCCCCTCCCCGGCTCCAGATCAGCCCCCCGTGGATCAGCTGCCAGTTACGAACATAGACGACGTTGAAGTGGACCCACAGCAGCGGGTCCCCGCTCCGAGCCCCGCGGGGCAGAGGAGAAAGGGGAACACCTTCACCGTGGTCCCTAAACGGAGGGCGGCGCCCGAGGGCCTGCCAGGCTCACCTGAGCCCCAGCAGCAAGAGGCCCCCGACGAGGCCCCGCGGGGCCCCACGCCGCCGCAGGCCCCCTACGCTCAGCTGGGCTCCCTGCTGAAGAAGCGCTACCCCGCTGTGGAGGAGATTGAGGTGATCGGCGGGTACCTGTCCCTGGAGAAGTCCTGCCTCTCCAAGACGGGCTCCCCGGGCAAGAAGGTGAGATTAAAAACAAGAGCTGATCCAATCTGTGGCTTTATTGAAATGTTTTATACTGCGAGCATGGAGACACACAGAGTGCCGCTGACCAGATTAGTGGATGTAGTCAAACCACTTATTAGTTATTATTCTTAATATTAAGTCATTTAGGCATCACTAGTGTTTTGTGAAATGTTCATTTAAAGAGCCTGTTAATCAAAAACACAGGAAACAAATTCATCAGTGAAGATGACGCTTTTTGCTTCACGGATATTTTTGCCAAATCCTCATGAAAGTTTCCTCTGATCTAAATTTAGGAGTCAAGCGTCACAGAGGCAAAGCCCAGTTTTTCTCTCAGTGCATCTGCCACTCTCTTGTTCTTCATCGCAGCCTGACGCTCACCTCTCTAACGCCTCCAAGCAGCATCTCCACCTCCACGCTGTGCGTTGTGAGTGTGTCTCCCACTCAGAATGTCCCCCGTCCCGTCACTTGACCTGCTCTCGATACCAAGTGGTTTAAAAGGCGTTTTGTTTGCACAGGGACTTGACGCGCTGCGCTCTCTCTTCTGTGTATTGCCGCCCCACAAAGGCATGTTATTAGTCACGCGGCGCGTTGTTGGGTTCGGTGGCCCTCCGAACATAATGACTCTACACTGTCATTAAGGCTCAGACCTCCAGATCTGCCGGCTCTGACCTGTCGCAGAATCTGAGGAACACTCTTATTGTTTCTTTTAGGCTTGAATTCATCTTCCGCTCAAAGATGAGATATTCCCACGCCTGCCCCTCAATCATAATTAAATGATAACAAAGTTTGGGTTTGGGGCGTTTGCGGTTATCTTGCCATCTTAATCAGTTTGCCTGCCGATGGTCTTGCTGCAAATTGCCCCCGTTTCAGCTGTATTGGGGATTAATTAGATATCAGAGAATTTTTCTAATTAATTTAGGGAGTTGCTGCAGGCTGCTTTGCGAGTCTATTGTTTGTTTTTATGTTTCCCTTTACAGAAAAGGAAACCAGCTTGTCTGTGGCTTGTGTCTTTACCTCTAAAATAAGACTTTGTTAGGATTATCGCGATGGTTCAGGTCCTCTGGTTTCAGGTCCAGGTCCTATGAAGGTCCAAGTCAGCCTACAGCTGTCCGTCTACAGAGGACGAACGTTTCACGCATTCTGTCACAACTAGGACCGTCAAAATTAACGCGTTAATCTATGCGATTACTGTGGCCCGAGATTAGTGCACTAAAATATTTTAACGCAGTCAGCTGTGTTTACAAGAACTGTGCAGAGGAATTCCTCCTTGTGTCAAACAGAAGGGGGGTGAGTGGCAAACGGACCACGTGACGCGCTGATGGTGCCCGGAACAGGTCGGTAGCTGCTGGGCTTCTTCCATCTCAACACGGCTAAATGTCAGGAGATTGTCGACACAGCCGTCAAATGTGTGTAATACAATTAAACAACAGCAGTGATTACTCGTTAATTTATAAGATTTAGTCTTTAGAACTAAAAAAAACTAACTTTTAAACGCGATTAATGAATTTCCAAATGTGCAGATTAATTTAGTATTTTTTTTAAATCTATTGACAAGCCCATTTACAACACAACCCTACCCTTTGTGCTTTACAAAGCCAGGCACCAGCTCAGATGCACAATATGTCGGGCCTTTTGGCAGCTCCTCCATCTAGGCCAGTGGCTCGGCCTGTTGGCCCCGAAGTCTTGTTTCCTTGACCTGTTGCGCTTTAATCCTCTGCTCTCCAAGTAAATCCAACTGCTCGTTCCAACCGGGACACAATAAGTCCGGCTACTCCGCATTCTATCGAGTGGAAACGGTGACGAGCATTGAAGCTGTGTCACATTTGTGCCGTACCGGGCACAAGGTTGTTGTATTGAGACGTTTTGACTTCTTTTGTCAAATGTAAAAAAAAAACAACTTTCAGGGAAGCTTTGGTATCAGGAGTGTAACTCTTATCAACCGTCACACTGGCAGCTGTAGGGAAGCATTTCACGCGATGCCCGGCCTCAGTAAACACTGGGTTAAGAGTGACGCTAGCCTGCAGATCATGACCTTCTAATGAGGGATATGGCGAGAGTGAACCTCAACCCGGTTGTGGCGGCGGCGCATGTGTGTGTTTATCGCGCGAGCATGACATGCATGCCGTGAGACATGAGCTCACCCTGTCTCTTGTCCTTGTCGCTCACAAGCCGGAGACTTTTTTTTCCTTTTTTTGTTGTCCGTCTATTCTTCTCAGTCGTCATCGAGGCCCAGATTTGTTTTCTTTCTTCGTGTTCTTTTCTAGGCAGGGCTGCGCCGCCAATTACAAAAGCATCAAGGCTCGGCCCGGCCTGTATAATTTGTGTGAGAGCAGGCTGCGAGAACGGCCTCGGCTCAGCGCTCCGGTCTGGGATTGGAATCTTTTTTGCACTCTTTTTTTTTTCCAGCGAACCCCTAACCATTTTTTTTTTTATTAAATGAGAAACTTGGCTGCAAAAACAATGTTCCATTATTCACGTCAGTACTTAACAATCAAAGCAGATCATCACCCCGTCTTCTGGATTTTCCAAAAACATTTCCCCCTATCCATCCCGCTCTCTGGCTGCATGTTGGAGCCGAACGCTGGACGCCGTCCAGTCTCATATTCTTGTGTCTTTATCGCTCCACAAGCACCACTCTGCTTTGTGGTTTTCTTTACTCCCATTATCCATAGTGCAGTGCTTTTATTCCTGTGCGCTGGTGGTTATTAAGGTCTGTCCCATGGCTTCCAGCTTCCTGTGATCTCCTCCTCTCTATTGGGGAAGGAATTGGGGAAGAGCTATGTAGGTCAAGTGCAGCTTCTTCCTCCATTTGCATAAAATCGACTGTGGCTCTGTGGTGATGCACATAGACCAGGAGTGGCTTGGTTTTCTTCTGCGGTCTGATTATATTGGGCTGTCCTGACTCCAGCGATGTTTTTTTAATTACCTTGTGGTGGAGGACACCATTCCATCAAGCAGAGATCGAGCTGGCAACAAGGCAGGGGGGGAAGAGTGGTTTGTTTTTGAGAGAGAGAGAGAGAGAGATTTGTGTCTTCTTCCTTTATTGTTTAGTCCTGTATGAAGTGAAAACGTGACAAAAGCATTTTTAAACTTTATTAAGAGATTTATCGCAAAATAAACAATAAAATTGTAAATGAAAAATAATATACAGATATCTCCAGCTATGCATTGATGATGTTACCTGCATGCACACAATCATAATATGATAATAATTTGGTTTCCTGAGTAATGTGTGTAAAATCAATGTACGTTGTCATTGCGTGTCAGAATATCTCAATGAATGATTTCATCACCATACGATTCCACCCAAAGACTATAAGTGATCATATTGAGTCATTGCCCTGCCCTTAGACACTACTGATTAGATTGTCTGAAGATGATTGTGGGTCAATCAGTGGTTTTCTCACAGTCAAATACTATTGAAGGATTCCATTCAGGCCGTCCCATGTATTGACTGTGCATACCTGCACGCCGACTTGAAGCCACGTGACCGCCTGTGGGAGCGCGTGGTAGGGAGCCTCTGGCCTACGTGATGAGTAAAAGGTCTTTTGGTAACCGTGGTAACGCATATGCGCTTCAGCAGTAGTGTGCAGGCACGTTCCACGATGCATCCGAAAGTGAGACCAGTTGCACTTTTCACTTCAGTCCAGACAGTCAATGGAGTTTAGTTATTTTCGTCGTGATGCACGATGCCATTCATCAAAACAGAGTTTTGGGACAATTCACATGACCTGCCACCTACTCCTGTTGGTCCGTCTGCAGAAAGTCAGGTGTGAAAGCAACAATCCTACTTTTGCTCTGCTTGGTTCTGCTCACATCCCGAATGCCTGTGGGATCCTGGTCATGTCATTTGATCCAATAAGCACTCAACATTTGAGCCTAATGTTGCTGTTTGACGTAACTTCAGACCAGACTAATTCTAAAAGGGTTGTCCGAAGGCAGGTATTGCATTCCTTCTGTGGGAAAGTGGAGGAAAAACATCTTTGAAACCAAATCACACACCTTTAGACTATTCTATGTGCTCTTCGTTAACTGTAATGTGACATTTGTTCATTTATATTACATTCTCAGTTTTAGCAACTGCCTTTTTTAGGAAAGGGAAAGGCTTCATAATGTACAAGAGGGGAATTCAGTGGCATTTTATGGGGTAGAACAAGAGGTTAGGGTGAGTTTGGAGTAGCATTGAATACATTCCTCTTTGGTGCATCAATGTGAAGGACACAATCTTCACTGGGGTTGAATGGCATACATACAGCAGGCTAAAAATGCCCAACCTTAAATGGTATGAAAAGCTTCCCCGTAACACAGGAAAGGCCAATGAAAGGGCACACTCCTACATTTACATTGTGTGCCCGGGCCACAGGTGTGAAAGTCCATTGTGTTTAATTATTTACCACTCAGTAGACATTCCCTATCCCTCCTCCCTTCTATTTCCTGAAAACCTGAAAACACACCCACTTGCTTTGAAAAAAAATTCACAATAAAAGCCGACTGCCCCCGGTCCTGGTTGCCTTTATTTAGGCTGAGCTGGAGCCACAGGAGACATTTTTCAGATTAAAACTGTGTTGAAGTTAATATTTAGAGACCAAGGAAAAAGCCTTGAGGCAAAGGATCTTTAAAGAGTAACAGTGTGTTGGTGTCAAGCAGCTCCACAGGAAAATGTCTGTATGTTACATTGCTAAAGGCTCTACTGGGTTCATCAGCTACTTGCTGACTTTGTTTGACATATTGTGCTGGCCGCGTGGTTTGAAGTGGGTTCGTCAGAGCTGATGCGGCTGAAAATAAAGTTGATAAGAGTTTAAGAGACGGTAAAGTTCTGACTGTAAAAGGAGCTGAACGACACTTGTCTGCTCCGTGGAACTGGGAGGAACTGCAGAGGCCGCTTGCATTCATCAGGCTGAATGATGAACGCTTCCTCCAAAGCATCATTCAAGAAGCAAATTCAACCATTTGGATGCAACTGTAAAAAGTGCAAGGATCATGTCCAGTGGTTGCAA